ATTTTCGTTCTAAAAAAGTAAAACCATCATATTAATAGCAGAATGCATAGGTATTGAGGAATAACCTGAATGTACACTCCTATTAGTCCTATTAATCCTGGTAAAATTGCTTACCTAACTAAAACTAGTCTACAATTGCCAAAAATATTTCGACAAAATTACCATTTAATCAAATTGTCAGAACATTTTACCTTTTGATACAATTTTGGATGTAGAGTAAAAATAAGTACCTAGGTAATAAATAAGTGAATAAGGGCCAGTTTATTAACATTTTGATTAATTAAGTGTCAGGTAGGTAATGGAATCTGACGGATAAAAATGCGATATAATAATCTCATTGGTCGGCCAGTTATCCTCTGGTCAATGGGATCAATAAATCGGTAAAATTGTCTTGCAGAAAGTTACAAGCAAATTTATCTTTTGATGAAAAAAAGGGTAAATTTCCACTACCTCACTAATGGGGTAGTATACAAGTGATTTTTACCTATTGCTTAGTGATATACTCGACGTATCGTACTATTTAGTGTAACCAGTTGCTTTGTTAAAACCGAAATACACTGGATTTTCTTTTTTTAAATTTCCTCTACCCCGCCCCTACGTGAAAATAAAAGTTCGTGACGTAGTTAGTTTTTCCAATCTGGCAACACATCACGGTTTTGACAACAAACAATTTGCACTGACATTGACCGTCAAGAACGAAACGTCAAATTTAGGTTTTTCCAAATTTGAAATAGAAAAACGGCAAGCAATGAGTACCTAATCGTAAAAACTGTTATTTTCCCGGTTGTGGAAATTCATCGGTTAGTGCGCCGGTGGTAAAACGCTTTAGTGCAACACGTAGTTTCTTATAGGATGCATTCCTAATGTTGTAGTTAGCCTTTTTGGACCGATTTGAATATAAAAATATGCGGATTATATTGGTTTTCCAGAAAAATCTATAAATTAAAGTGGTTCAATTTAAAGGTGTGTTAGTTTGGGTTAGTTTGCATAGGACTAGTACGCATTACGTGGACGGGTTAGCTTGGGTTAGTTTGCATATTTTTGGTTAGTTTTGGTGACTGTTCGTATCTACTGGTTATAGGTGTACTGATTGAGAACACAGCGCGCGAAGTGGGGTTTGTTTTTTAAATTGGTATGATTAGGGCTCTCGGGAACAGGGTAGAACGCATACTCCGATTGAGTTCATTTTTGGTATACATAAAAAGGCCGCTGCAAGAAATTTTTCCAAGAAAAAATTGACCCTAGCCGCAACCTTGACCGTGACCTTGACCAGTGAAATTCACATAAATATCAATTTATCCTACTGAAATTATGTATAGCGCCGAAGAGCATCATAAATAACCCACACGCCGAGTTTTAGCCTTCAAGGTCTTACATATTCAGCGATACGGCAACCCCACATTCTCAGTTTGGGCTCTCGGGAATGGGCTAGAAGGCGTAGTCCAATCGAGTTCATTTTTGGTATACATATAAAGTCCGTTGAAAGAAATTTCCCCGAAAAAAAAAGTTGACCTTGGCCGTTAGCCGTGAACTTGACCGTGACCTTGACCAGTGAAATTCACGTAAATATCTATTTATCGTGCTGAAATTATGTACAGGGTGGGCCAATTTGGACACTTTTAATAGGAAACATCATGATATTGAATATTAATTACTTATCTAAAGCTGGATACAGTGTACTGATTAACAACGACAACTAAGCGCGACAAGCTAAAATAAAAATGTTCAAGGATACTAGCATGCATTTCAAGAATGAGTTAATTTGGGTTGTTTCGCATTATTTTGTAATTCTCGATTAGATAGGTTTACGGGGTCTAGCACGCAGTACAAAGACGGGTAAGTTCGGGTTAGTTTGCATATTTTTGATCAGTTTCGATATATCACAGTTATTGTCGGTTAAAGTGTACCAATTTCAAAAGTTCAGTAGATATTATACGCTTTATCATTACTCAATAATGTTTTTTTCCAAAAATGGTTTGAACACTTAGCTCTTCTCTTCATTCGAATATCTACCACATGATGCTTTTTACGTTTATTAAATTTTTATCTGCTAAACAGAGCGATTGTGATATTAGGCTGATAAAAATAGATATTATATATTGATCTGTGTCAAAGGTCGAGAAGAGGATTCATTCAATATTAATAAAATCCAATTTATAGTTATTTGCGCCAACATTTTCGATCATAAAACAATATTTTAGGATCAAACTAAACTATCTATGATGAAGAAGCATGATATTTTTTTTGAAGGACCTTTACTGAACTGTTACCTTTTACGGCCTAAATATGTATACCAAAAATGAACTCAATCGGACTACGCCTTCTACCCTGTTGCCGAGAGCCCAAACTGAGAATGCGGAGTTGCCGTATCTCTGAATGTGTATGACCTTGAAGGCTAAAACTCGGTATATAGGTTACTTGAGATGCCTTTCAACACTATACAAGTTTTCAGCACGTTAAACTGCCATTTACGTGAATTTGATGGTCAAGGTCAGGATCAAGGTCACATTCAAGGTCAAATGTTTTTTGGAAAAATTTCTTTTGACGTCCTATATATGTGTACCAAAAATGAACTTGATCAGAAAACGCCCTATAGCCCGTTCCCGAGAGCCCAAAAATTACCTTTAAATTCAATATCAACATACAAGGATCGCACGCATTACGTGGACGGGTTAGTTTGGGTTAGTTTGCATACTTTTGGTTAGTATGAGTTACAGTTCGTTCAATATCTACTGGTTATAATATCTACTGGTTTAATATCTACTGGTTATGTGTAAGTAATTGTGAATGTGAATATTCGCTTACTACGGCAAAAAACGTCAATATCCGCACTCAAATTGATACAAAACCGACTGTATAAAGGATATATCAACTAATTTTTATAGAAAATTTGTTAATTTTTGTTGCACTAAAGCGTTTTACACCCAGTGCGCCAAATAAAATATTTTTGACCGTCCCAAAGAACTACGAGAGGAGGAAGAAATGGGTAATCTCCAGCCATGGAAACACTGTTTTTCCAAAATCTGTGTTGTACTACTGCGAGGACCATTTTGATGTGAGTTTATGTGCTTGATACAGTGGTCGTCTATGTATACTATAATATAATCATTCAATATTTATTAGCTGAAAAATGATGCCGAAAATTGGATGTAATTTAAGCAGGTGGGCCAAAATTTGAAATTGAAACCAGGAGTTGTGCCACGTCACCAGTGTGTGAAAGAGTTGCCAGCACAATCGTCACAATTAACGCCACTGTCGCGCAAACGGAAGATGGAATGTTCTGCGTTATCAGAAAATCTCGCAAAAGCTAAACGGTCGCTATTCATAACAAAATCTGAAAGTTTAAACATGAGCCCCTTCAAGCAACAAGAGCGTGATGCAAAAAATAATACTGCAGTGAGTTCATCGCCAGGAAAGTTTCAAATTTCGTTTTGTACTGTAGAAAAAGGGAGTCGGACGCAGAAAACAAAAAGTACTCAAACACAACACAATGCACGCCATGTCGTAGCACAAGTAAAACCTGACACAGCGACAATAAGTACAAATACAAGGGTAGGAAGAACACAAGAATTTGATGTCAGTTTGCAGCTAAGTGGTAGTGAAAAATCAGTGAACTCAGACATACAGAGTCGACCTTCATCAAGCGCCACTTCTTCAAGCAATCAGTCTTCATCAAGTAGTGATGCTCTCTTAGTACCCAGAGTACGAAATACTGCATACATGGTGGCTGAAATGGAAAGGTACCCACGTCTATATACGGGCATTCCTCGAGACAGTTTTGGTATAATTAAATTATTGAGTATTGAAATCAGACTAACAGAAGAAGATATTCTGCTAACGTTGAGAAAAATACGTACAAACGATACATTTAGACGACTGGCCATTGAGTTTGAGTATAGCGACAGCTATCCTGCAAAAATATTTGCTAAATGTTTGCCTCTACTGGCTGGTTACCTGCAGGAATTAATACCATGGCCATCAGCGCAAAAAATCAAGGAAACTTTGCCAATACAGTTTTGGGGGACCTACAGAAATGTGCAATCAATCATCGACTGCTTTGAAATTCAAATAGCGAAACCGTCAAACGCCTTAGCGCAAGCTCTAACATGGAGCGATTATAAAAACGGAAATACAGTGAAATATCTAATTTCCTCAACACCAAGTGGTCTAATAAATTTTGTATCTCATGGATTTGGGGGACGTACATCGGACAAGGAAATAATTCTCCACTCTGGCTACTTGTCTCAGCTACCACCACATTGTAAAGTTCTGGCCGATAGAGGATTCAAAGAGGTTGCCGCGGTACTGGAGGAAAAGCAATGCAAATTGGTACGCCCGCACAGCGTAACGCTATCAAAAAAATCTTCGAAAGCAGAGGTTAGAGAATCGAAACTCATCGCAGCATTACGAATACATATTGAACGTGTTATCCGTCATCTGCGCGAATTTCGTATGTTGACCCCTCATGCATGTACGCCTCTTCCATTAGTAGTTCATTTAGATTACATTGTGATAATATGTTCTGCCATAAGTAATCTACAGGGTGTAATGATAAAATAATATTGACTAAACTTAGACTTTTATTAAATAAATGTTAAGTAGTAACTAAGAATTTAGTTTTGCAAACACCGCTTCTTTCCAAAATTGGAGCGCATCAGCGATCATCTGGCTGCAATAAGCCTTATCCAACGCTACTTCAATAGTAGTAATTTGTTTATCCTCCTCAAAATCAGGAGACGCAACACAAAAAAGACTTTTTTGTCTATCGCGAAGAAACATTTGCAATTGCACCTGAGCATAACACTTTTCTGTTATTGTTCCATTCTTGTAATATTTTTCTGTTGTATCGGCTCTTGAAGGGCACTTGATTTCAATGCAATGGTGCTCCGTAATTGCGTCAGGTGAGGCACCAAATATGGGCACTTCTGGTTTGATTGTGAATCCACATCTTTTTGCACAAATCTTCTTTTCTTCACAAAGTACTTGTAGTACTTGTTTTTCTAATAAATGCCTCGTCGCATGGCTTTACTAGGGGTGAATTTGCGCGTACCAAGTACTGCCTCTAGTGTTGTCCCATCATATGTATGACAGTGTGCAACCTCGTGTAGTTTTGAAGCTGTTATCCGGCCAAATCGAGCAGCAAACCATTCTGGGCATTCAGACTGCGTTTTAGTTATTTGACAAATTTTTTTGCATATTTCGGGCATTAAAACTGTTTTCGCAAATTGGAGAAAATGATCTGCATTGATTATAGGAGCCGTAGCTTGAAATTTCAGTACCATGTGGTGAAGGGAAATTTGCTCAACAGCAGTGGGGATGGTCCGAAACCAGTTGCCAATGGACGCAGTTGAGTTTTGCTCTAATAGTAGCTGAACAGTTTTATCCAGAAATGCTGTTGTTTTTGACCGTAATGGCGGACATTTATATTTAAAAATATTGAAAGTTGTTGTTGGCTTCAAATCCCCCAGTTTTGCTAACGATGACTTCTTCCAGTAACAGACGGTTGAGGTTACTGACGGATGTAAATGTCTCCTCAATAACCAAAAAATCAGCGCTATTCCATGCTTGCAGCCCCCTAACAATCATGGTTTACTTGATTTTCAAGAATGGTTTGCTTATTAGTTACCTACCTTCGCTCGCTTCGCAGTCATTACATTTCACATCAATTACTTTATGGCATTCTTCATCAATGCACACACTAACCAAATAGCTTTGTTTTCGAATTTTATGTTCTGGCGTGATTCGAGCTTTTACAATGCACTGGGGATGATCCCTTTTCAACTGGACATACCCTACAGCAACGTCTCCGTAAGATTCTCGAGTAGCTCTTTTAACACAGAATAACCAAAACCATTAGGTAGATATACAAAAGTAATCCATAAGATACTATACCTCTGAGCTTTCACGTTCCGCACCCCAGCAATAAAATACTCAGCAATTTCTTCGTAATATATATCTATCATTTCGCATGTTACTTCGGGCAGATTATATGAATCGGCCTGTACAATTCCTGGGTCCGTTGTCGTTCGCATTTTTTTATGCGTTTGGGTAGTCTCAAATTAAGGCCTTCAAAGTGATCAAAATTCAGAAGTGAAAAATCCAGCAAAAAAGTCACAACAATACAAACAACGCAAACAAACCACTACATCAAACAACGTGAACAATAAGTTACTGTGACAATGTCATACGATTCACAGGACACCACACGTCGTTGAACTGTTGAAGTCAGCTGTCGTTTTGACGCATTTTGAGCAGCGTTGCCAGATGATCAGCAGCTCGAATATTATTGGTCGGCGCTGTGGCGCTAAATTTAAATTAAAGTTTATTTTTCTCTGACTAATTCTATAGACACTGCTGAAAAATAATTTAATATCCCACTATACCATCACCATTTAGCCTATAGAATAATGTCGAGCAGTTTTTTTACTGATTTTCATACATAGTAACATATGTTAATAAAACAAATAGGGCCTACGTTGTCGAAATTTATTCAATTTTACTTACTTGACATGCACCCGACAATAGCAAAATTAGGAAAATTTGAGGGAAGTTGTGATATGTAACATCAACGAAAAATTTGTGAAACGTCTAATTTATTATTAGGAAATCGTACCGTTATCAGCCTGAAACTCACGAGGGGAAAGAGCACGGCAGAGAAACCCTTGATCTCAATTCTTCAAAAATCAAAGCATACTGTGTTATTTTAATAATATGTAATTTTAATTCAATAATAGTTTAAATTAGAGGTACCGCCCCTGTGCTAAAATTTAGAATTCCATACACCACATGTAACATAGTATTATTACAAGTTATTTCATCAAAAGTTTGGAGATTTCCACCCAGACCTTGAATTTCGCTGTTTATGGTATTTACAGTCTTTTCGCCCACTAAAGAAAAATGCCTATTCAGCTGGTTTACAATATCTATTCTGTTTGTAATTTTTTCACCCTCAATAGTTAAAGATTCTATTTTCCCTTCCCAGCTCTTATTTTTTATAAACTCATTTATAAATCGCCACTGTTTTTTACTGTCATTCCCTACTTCATCCCACTTACTTTTATGCCCGTATTACATCTGTGTATTTTTCCGTGTATTAATTCATGTAGTTCAGGGTGACAACCGAAAAACTTCAAACGCAACATAAATCAGCATTATGAAAAACAAAATAATGTTGGCACCCTGAACTACATGAATAAATACACGGAAAAATACACAGATGTAATACGGACATTATTGTTTATTAAATTTTTTAGTTTCATGAACTCTTCCCTATTTTGACAATTGTTTTCACATATATTTGAATACAGTTTATCCTGCTTTTTCATAAGATCAAGTAATTCACCTGTAATCCATCTATTATTCCCTTTACATCTCATAGTTATGGTATACTCGCACTGGGTAGCTCTTGCAGGCAGAAATTACTTAAATTAACTGTCCAAATGATTCAATTTACACCGTGTTCATCGTCCTCTTGAATATATCCTTAAGCTTGTTGTGATTTATGCACTTATTTTCATAGGTAGTTTTTAGTTTATGCATTCTCACTTCACCTTCAATACTAATAAATAATAATTTATGATCTGAAAGAAGATTTTTTACTGGTGTAATTGAACAATCCTGTTTACTTCTTTAACTGAGCAGAACATGATCAATAAGACTGCTAGTGTTAACCGTCAACTATTGTCCGTCAATTTTGATCTGATACTCGGACGGAATGTGAGCTGGTGGCTCCCTACATTAGAACGCCAATGATAACCTGACGTCACACCTGTTTCTGCCATATGAAACACCCGCTCGCTCCTCATACGGAAAATGTCAATTAAAAATCGACGAACACTAGATAAGTATAAGATTTTTTTCGAAAAATGACATACCGGAACAGGGTCAAAATCGCGCCAAATATTCTAACCTAAAAAAGGTACCTAAGATAATGTGATAATAATATCACTTGTTGACAAGCAGTTATTATTATTAATTATTCTCCGGAAATCCGTGTTCCCCGGCTACTTACAACATACACATGGGTAGTATCTCCAAATAAACTTGTGTGGTATGTAAAATTGACTGTGAATTTTATAATTACGATCTATTAAAGTTAATTTTTTAATGCCTATTTATTATTATTATTTTAATAATAATAGTGGAAATGTTTAAGTTGTTAAAAGAATAAAGGTTTAAATTATTGTTGCTTAATTTGCCATATAGTTCCTGCGACAAAATTAATAATAGGTTACATAGTGTTGAATAATATACCTAATAATAATAATAATACCTAACCTATACAGTGTGATTTTTTTAAGTGTGCAACATATGGGGATTTTTTTTAAGTAATAGCACAACCCAAATACAAACAAGGCCAAAAGTTGGTGCATGTCTGATAATCATTTTAGGTGCACTTAGAATGGTTGCAAGTCAAACAGCATACAGGGTAGCTCAAACAATATCAAAGCTGTACTGTAAAGTACCCTTATCTTAGAAAATTCAGCAAAATGTTATAGAGAAAAGTTGTTTGGAATTAAAAGTTATGCCTAAGTACCAAAGCATAGCCTCCTAAGATTTTTTTAATTTTTTTTCGAAAAAAATCCATAATTTCTATATTTTTTTTATTTTTTATTTCCGCCCTTAAAACTTTCAAAAATTAATTAAAATCCCATCAATTTTACATAACTTTGTTCAAATTCAAGCATATTTGTGAAATTAACTCAGATTTTTAATTTTTTATGGAATCACAAAATTCATGTTTGTTGCAATGATATTCAACACAACTTTAAAATGTCGCAATTTTTTTTTAACAAGTTAAAACAATACTAATGATAATAGCCATATTGAAAAAACTCTCCTTAAAGTACAGAAGTTTTATTTTATTCAAGTAAATATTATTACAATTTTGATATTTTTTGAGCTACCCTGTATGATGTTTAACTTGCAACCATTCTAAGTGCACCTAATAATATGATTATTAGACATGCACTAACGTTTGGCCTTGTTTATATTTTGATTGTGCTATTACTAAAAAAAAATCCCATATGTTGCACACTTAAGTAATGACACTGTATATTATGATAATAGAAATCAATTGAAAACATTATTTGTTACTGAGCTTTTCACACTTTTACAGAATGTTGCCAAGTACCAGTGGTATTAGTAGCTGGACCAAGCGTATATTAACTTTAGCTTTAAATAAAGATTTGAAATGATTCCGAATCTGACCCAGAATATTTTCTCGATAAAACTATCGATGAATCTTCCGATCAGAAGAGAGATATTACCCGACCTCAAAAAAAATGCATTGCACCCCAGGAGGCTCTAAACAAATACGCATTCTTCAAAATATTGTTTTACGTTCTCCAAATCAGAAAAATACAGAAAATTCTCCAAATAAAACAAAAGCAACACACACAGAGAAAACCATGTTCAAAAACTTTTTAAATGTTCATTAAACAATTTTGGAAAATGTCAAAAAAAAAATTAGAAAAAGTTTGAAGAAAAGAAATACAGTCAAAGTAAATGAACAAAGAAGAAAGTTTACGTACACCTATACTATTTGAAAAATGAGCAAGATGAAACTTTAAATGTATGTAAGGTGTTTCTCTTGAGTACAGTGGGCTTTAGGAGAGAAAATGACTGAATTTTGAAAAATGTGCGAAATGAAGATGTTGCATTACTGAAACGACAATCTGACAAAAAAAGGAGCCACCCTTCGTCTAAAAAAATTGACCGAACGACTGACTAGGGGTATGTTTGATAATAACAGCCGGCAGTCGTTATTTATATTTTAACTGACTGGCGAATAAATAACAGCCGGCGGCTATTTAATAAATCTTTTCGATTTCAATTTCGCTCATTTATAGTAAAATAACAGTAAAGTATGACGAAAATGTCTTTAAAATCACCTAGCGGTCGATTAGCTGTTAACAAGCTTATGACATGAGAATTGAATATACAGGGTGTTTGCTACATCGATAGGAATATCTCAATGAGCGATAGGGTCATTTGCAAGCTGTTTGACCATATTTACCCTTATTGAAAGTTTCGCAGTTTTTTGAGATATAGCCATATTTAGATATTTTGAATCCATGTATTTTAACACATAACTTGGGCTACATATTTTTAGTATCAATCATTCGGTTTTTCTTTTCGTATTATTCGGAAGAGTGCATATTAGGACTATCGGAAAAAAAATTGAGAAAGGTTGAAGTGTTTACTACCAAAAAAAAAAAACAATATGTTTTAGGAAAAATCGAAAATATCTAAAAATGCTGATATCTCAAAAACGATGAAACTTTGCATAAGGTTAAATGTGGTCAAACAGCTCCCAAATGACCCCAACTATCACTCATTAAAAACTTCTTATCGATGTACCAAACACCCTGTATACTTGGAAAAGTAAATGTAGTGGCTGATACTCTATCCTGGCCACCAATAGAAACGTCTCAGATAGAAGTAAATAAAGTTGTCGCAGAAACAAAAAAGAAGACATTAGAAGATCCGGACGTTTTGAAAATAATTATTTCAGTGGAATATAAAAAATGGACTGACCGCGGTTACATTATGACTGAAGGAATCTTGTATCGATTTGATCCTGACACTGAGACCCAAGAAAAAATACAATTAGTGGTACCAAATAGCATGATTCCTGAAATTTTAGAAGAATACCACGTTCCCCGTTAGCTGGTCATTATGGTATTGAGAAAACCATACAATTGGTCAGGAATGAGAAAAAGTGTTTCCGAACATGTGTCTAGCTCTATTGAATGTCAGAGATATAAAGTGGAAAATCTTAAACCTGCTGGTTTATTACACCTGCAATCTGCAATGTCCAAGCGATTTGAAGTTATATCTATAACCTTTTCCTGAAACCAATACTAGTGAAAAATTGATATTTATAATCGAAGACACTGCCAGAGCTTGCGCGCAAAGTTTTGTTGATGAGGTGAAACTCTGAGATATGGAGTTCCCCGAAGGGTTACAAGCGACAATGGAGGTACAATTTGTTGGTGAAACCGTGCAGTATGTAGCACATTGTCTTGGT